AGAAGTCAACTGCCGATTCATAGACTTTTTGCTGTATGAGTACAGGTTGCCCAAGGTGCACCACGTGGAGGTAAGTCTATCGCGCACCCCGACGAAAGAAGAACTAAATGTAATAAAAGCGGGAGAAATAAAAGCCTGAAGTTAAACCGAAGACAATGAATTTTACAAACTCGCCATAAGGCTGTCTAAAGTACAATAAATTAATCGCAAACGTCAAAGTAATCGGAAGCAATCACATATGCACTATTAAAAATTAGTTATAAAACATTCTCATGATTAACTTAAAAATGGTACTTTGTCTTTGTTGCGGAAAAGGTGATTTCGTTGGGAGAAATAATTAACATTAATAATTTTGAACCGGGGTGTGCGATAGACTTACCTCCACGTGGTGCAGCCTAGGCAACGTATACTCATACGGCGAAAAAGCCAATTAACCGGAAGTTGACTTCTGACTTCAAACTATCATCATCCCACTGTACTTCATATTCCACCACTTTCACAGTACTCACCTCACCTTATTTCCGCCTTTGTGTCTGTCTGTCACTTTTACACCTTTGAAACACTCCTCTGTTCCCCTCCCCCTCTCGACTTTTTCCCCCTTGATGTTTCTTCCCCTCTGTGAAGCCTGAAATCAACTAAAGGGCTAATGATAACTATCAAAACGCCTGCCATTTGGTATAAATAAATATAAATAAATTCAGAACTGTTAGCAGAATTCTTCGCTCTGGAGTTAGTGAAAATAAATGTCCTCAATAGATAAGGACCTATGATTTTATTGGATTATGAAATCTCGAATAAGTGGAGAGAAAATTAACTCCACCAAAATCGAACTGACCTATTGTTTTTTGTTTAAAATTCTACAAAATTGGAGGCGGTTAAATTTTCAGTTTCTTATCATATCATATTGTAAACTGAAACGTATCGATTTTTGTGCCGATCCCCCTTTAGTGATTCTGATCAATGAAAACCAAATCGTGTTAAGGGCAAAATACATAATAAACATAATTAATTATAAGATACATTTCACAATTATGTAAATAAATGCATATTGAAGATAGTAGCACTCCTTCTTCTCACTTAAAAATTAACGCAAAGGAAAATACCAGACACGAATTTTAAAAAAAAGCATTTTCCGAAAACACTGAAAGGAGGAAATGAAGGTTCTGAAGGCATTGCAATGTTGTTTGAAACAATTGAAACTACGTCAGAATCGAATGTAAAAGTTTTGCCTTTAGGCCCAAAGAATCCAGGGGCGTATATTCTAATTGCGGTAGACTTAGCTCCACATGGTGCACCCTGGGTAACGCATACTCATACGACAAAAAAAGTCTATTATTCGACAGTTGACTTTTGACTTCGACCTACCATGACCCGAATGTAAGTCATATTCGACAACTTTCACAGTACTCACCTTACCTTTTTCTCTACTTTTGTGTCTGCCTTTTCATCTGTGAATCACTCTTCTGTTCCCCCTTTCGATTTATTTCACTTTAATTTTCCTCCACTCTGTGAAGCCCGAAGTTAACTAAAGGGCCAATGATAACCTACCATTTGAAATAAATATTCTAAGTGACTTCTTTTCCAAACAGAGAAGACTAATCGATGAGGGATTCGGATAATATTCACATAGATGCAGAGTGTAAGCAAGAAACGAGAAAGCAACTTTGCATTCAACGAAGTAACAAACTGAAATGTACTCGTTTATACTATCGTTGTGAAAGTGAAATATTTTGGCATTACTATACTTTAGCGAAGCTCCCATTGATATCGTTCTAAACTGTCGACAAAGCACGACAGATAAGAAGCACTACCTGGTTTCAAGGTGGTAATGGAAGCCCCCGCTACTAACCCTCCAAATCTCTACATCAAAATACGAGGTAAGCAGGGAATGTGGTTGGATATTTTCCCGACCTTCAGTTATTCATTTAGTTTGCAACGGTCACACTACCTGCCAACCCTGTGCCCATATAATCGACCCTCCCTCCCTACCTCCTCCCCCTCTCCCTTCAAAAAGGAACATAAACGCAATCAATCTCCTCACCAAAAAAAATATAATCGAAATCCGGGTTTAGTGGTCCCAGAGGCAATGTTGTGGACATGGTAGTTAGGAATAGAGGAGGCTAATCTTGAACAGCAACGAAGCGGTCAGTTTCCTAGTTCCTAAGTTGATTACAGCATGCGACGAAATTTTGAGAAAGGGGTTGAGTAAGCGAGTAGGGCAATTGGTAGTGGCGCCAAAATATTTTTATGTTTAAGTGGGGCCTTTGTCTCTTATAGCGCCCATCCGTGTAGGGTTGAAATTTGAGGGGAGAGCCAAGTGGGTGTGCGATAGACTTACCTCCACGTGGTGCACCCTGGAAATATGCCTTCACTATCAACATCTTATTTGGAAGCGGAGGGGTGTGTGCGATAGACTTACCTCCACGTGGTGCACCCTGGACAGCGTGCGATAGACTTACCTCCACGTGGTGCACCCTGGGCAACTTTCAACCCTTGCTGGTTTTCTAAACAATTATTCTTAAGAATACGATAGACTTACCTCCACGTGGTGCACCCTGGACAACGTACTTTCAAATGGCAGGCGTTATGATAGGTATCATGGGGTGTGCAATAGACTTATAAACTTACCTCCACGTGGTGCAGCCTGGGCAACGTATACCCCTCCACGTGGTGCACCCTGGCCAACGTATAATCATACGGTCTTACCTCCACGTGGCGCACCCTGGGCAATGTATACTACACCTTACCTCCACGTGGTGCACCCTGGGCAACGTATTCTCATTCGGCTACCTCCACGTGGTGCACCCTGGGCAATGTATACTCATACACCTCCACGTGGTGCACCCTGGGCAACGTATACTCACGATAGACTTACCTCCAGGTGGTGCACCCTGGACAACGTATACTCAAACGGCACGTGGTGCACCCTGGGCAACGTATACTCATACGGCTCCACGTGGTGCACCCTGGGCAACGTTTACTCATACGGCTCCACGTGGTGCACCCTGGGCAACGTATACTCATAAGGCACCACGTGGTGCACCCTGGGCAACGTGTACTCATACGGCAAGTAAGTCTATCACGTGGTGCACCCTGGGCAACGTATACTCATACGGCAAACAAACTGGTGCACCCTGGGCAACGTATACACGGCAAAAGAGTCCGGGTGCACCCTGGGCAACGTATACTCATACAGCAAAAATGTGGTGCACCTTGGGCAACGTATACTCATACGGCAAAAAACTGGTGCACCCTGGGCAACGTATACTCATACGGCGAAAAAGCCTATTAACCGGCAGTTGACTTCTGACTCCAAACCACCATCATCCCACTGTATGTCATATTCGACTACTTCCACGGCACTCACCTCACCTTTTTTCTTCCTTTGTGTCTGCCTCTTTTACATCTTTGAAAAACTCTTCTGTCCTCCCCCCCCCCTCTCGACTTTTTTTCGCTTTGATGTTCCTCTCCCTCTGTGAAGCCTGAAGTCAACTAAAGGGCTAATGATAACTATCATAAAGCCTGCCATTTGATATAAATAAATTATTGCCAAGACTGAGATGGAATGACTTCCAAAATATGTTTTGGGATGCATTTTGTATTATTTGCTGGGTCTATTGACATATCTCCACCGCCATGATCTGATATTTAGGATTACATAGATTTGGATAATAATAATATTGCATGAGGAGAACTAGTTTTCGCATAATAATTCAGGGAAGTCGTACTAACTCTCGGTTCATTTACCTCCAATATCACAAACCCACCACACACACAACTTGTGTGCATTGTTTTGGCAATGAGTGAAAGACTGCTGCACAAATAACGATAATTTTTTTTCATATTCGATAGTGTTAAATATCACTTTGTCCCATTTTCATCATAATCATCATCATCATCATCATTTCCTGCCTTCCGATTGTCGCCAGAGGAAGTTGAAGTGGAGAGGGGGTCGGATGGTGGGCTGCCTCTTGTGCGAGAATCGAGAGTTATTGTGACAGGGCCCTCGTTCACTAGGGAGACATCCATCATCTTTCCAAAAGCCCCATCTAAAAGAGGAATCAAATTTAGCCGCGTAGCATTTAAATCATATTCGCAAATTGTAAGCATTCATTTTCCAAATTAATTTTCGAGAAATGGATGAGATTTAGTGTTACTAGTAGGTGTCAGAGTATATAATTATTGACAACTTATTAATAATCGAAGTTACACTGAAGCAAAAGTGTGCCATGACATACGCTTAGTCTTAGACGGGAAGAATGACTTCACAGACCCTTCAAACTACCCCCTTCCCAACCCCCTCCCCCCTCCCTACTTTGCTAATTAAAGTCAAGTAACTCTCTTGCTCTCGTTTGCCTTCTGATGTCCTACATCTGGGGATTGGACATTTAATATTAGGAAAACGTAACTGGCAAAAAAATCCACTTAATTTCACCATAATCATGAAACTAGATGCTTAATACGTTGATAGGAAATAACGAGTTCAAGGACATTTCCAAATAGATCCTGCAAAGCAGCAATAAACAATGACCAGTTGGATAGGATTCCGGGCAAAAAAAAAGTCCAGTGACTTCTCTCCCGAATGGAAATAAAACTAGGCAAAGTCGCAGAATTAAGAATTCCGCCATCCTCTTGCTAATTCCCACAAACAGCTGTCCGAAAATATCAAATAGAGAAAATTTAAGTTAAGAATCGCATTTTTTAATAAATCATGCATTGATTCCATTCGCGAAATGAAACCGATTTGACGAGAATTCTTGCAAAATATTTCAGCTAAATTTTAATATGCAAATTTCAAGAGAATTGATTTCAGCTCAACTAATCAATTAGACATTATCTCAGGGTTTAAAATTATGTCAGTTTGTGCAGTAAGTCTTAAAGATGAGAAAACATCGAACGCAAGGAGAGTGAGTGGTAAAATTGAAGGCCATTCATCTCTCCTCCGAGTAATACCTTTTGCCAGGACCAGTCGATTGAAGTGACTAGATTATGCAACAACAAGAGGCTATATAATCGCTTATCTTCCAATTGAAGTGAATCAAATTGAGACTCTTTACCTATGCAACACTTTATTGACTGGATTTGTGCTTAGACACGAGCAGAGGGCACAATTCGACCTGAGATCGCACCCATTAAATGAACGTCAAATGTGACATATCGGTTTCAAATTCACCACAATTTCTCCAATGAATCTGATTATCAGATGATTCTGTACTGTCATAGTTCGCGCTCATAGAGTCAAAATGAGCTAAAACGAGTGACGTTAACGGAAATAAAAGCAGAATTTAAATTTCAGAAAAAAACATTGATCACCTTTTACTCGATTTGGGTCCTTGAATTCCGCGCGAACTTTGGCCAGAAAGGATTCGTAGACGCTTTGAGAAGAAGGGGGCGCCATTGCGAGATGGAAGTCCAGTTTATTGCCCTTCAACTTGGAGTAAAGAGTGAACTATGGACAAAAAACAGGTGATCAATTAATAGCCAAACGTAAATGCAAGAAATTTTTAACTTCAGCTTTTAAAAGGCTGTTGAGAAAATCGTTTATCCATCTATCTAAGGCTTCTGAGTTGATCAAGGGATATGTCTTTGCAAGATGTTTGAGTGAATGAGGGTGAATAAAAGCACCGATCATAATAATTATGGTGATTGAGAAGGATCAACATATTGACAAGATCTTTCTTTCCCAAAAAATGTCAATCGTTCCATAAAAAATTCATTTAAGGTTAAACTAAATGATGAAATGATGTGAATTTTAGAGAAAAAATAGGTAAGCTATTGGGAAGCCTATAATCCACTGATCACAATAGAACCAATTTCCAAATGCAATATTGTTATCACTTTTAGCATCGAGTTGAAGCATATAGTGAATATCTCATATCCAAACAAAGTATGTCTCCACAACAACGAATTATCATTTAAACTAACAATTATGCTAGAAGCAAAGTTCAATATCCGCCTAGACCCAACCTGTACTCGCATCGGATTAGGAAGTGGCATTATGGAGTCACTGGTGAGAAAATCGATTTCTGATACTCACTTATTATTCAAAGGTTGCCATTTCGCCCACTATGTTAGCAAAAAGTGAAAATCAGATTCCTGACCCCTAGCTTCGCAAGCGAGCATGTTAACCGTTGCGTGGTCATGGTGGGGGGGGG